TTTTGGAGTGAGAGGGGAGGAGAGAAATAAAAGAAATGAGTGAGTTTAAGTTTAAAAACTCTAAAATTCATTTTTTTTTATGTTTTTAGAGAATAGACTGTTGTAACCCTATTAGATTAGGAATGTGATTGTGTAAATCCTAGTAGATATGTGAATGTATCTTATATTCCTATTAGGAGTAGATTACCTATTAAATGTTGTAATCCTAGAGGGTAAGAAATTAACATTTCATACTACTATAAATAAATGAACAATGGGATGAAATAACAGACACCCACAATTACACATCTCTCTCTTCTTCTTCTTTATTGCCGCACATTTCTCTCTCTCTCTATGACCTTCATAATTGGTCAGTAAATTATACCTACAACACGATATCAACATGCTCTTGAAGCTGCGCCAAAGAGAGTTTGATCTTTAATCTGGGGAGTAATACGTTTTAATCATTCTTTTTATGATTAATTTATTATTTTGAATTGATCTACATGCTATTGATTCAATTTAATTTTTCTGTGTTGAACGTAATACAACGCATTGGAGATGCAATTCATGCTTTCTGAGAAAGATCTTCTACAAATTCAAAGGCTTTTATTGTTTTTTGAAAATTAGGTACACTTAAAATAAAGTAAGATATTTGAAACGACCTTGAAGCATAAAAACATTCCCCATGATGCATGAACATCCTATGTTTATATTTTCTTTCCGATATATATATTGTATATGTTCATATATTTGTCAATATATATATATATTTGTTTCATGCATCGCACAATTAAATTGTTATGTGGAATTTGTGAGTCAAATTATATCAAATAAATTAGAAGCATATTTAGGGTTTCCTAAACCCTAAGGGATTAAAAAAAAAAACGAATTGGGTATGGTGCGGCACACCCACCGCACAATCACTATGGACACAGCAACCAGGCCACAACCTGGATTTCACCTCGGCATGGCCTGAAGCCTCGAGCCCATGCACGCTAACTTTGGCCCACAGCCATCTAACCAGCCCAGTTGGCTGGGTTTTCCTTCCCTGACCTGCTTGCCACAACCCTTATGGTTGCTGGGCTTGTGCAGCAGCCCTGGTTTTCGGTTCACTACTAGCTAGCCTAACTTGTTGGGCCATGTGTCACGACCCACTGCTTGCCATGCATGACGCCAGCCCAATACGGCTGGGGTGTCCCTCGTAACCTGCAAGTTTTTGGGCTTGCTCTCGTGCCATCCCCGCAGTCCAAACTGAAACCTAGATGTGGTTGGGGTTTCACCTCACCTCTGTGACCTGCAGTCACTCCCGAGGCCTTTTTTGGACCCTACCTTTTCTACTTAAGGCACCCAACCCGTGCCCCTTACCCACGGCACCTAGCCTAAATTATTTTGGGGATATACTTTTGATCCAATAATATTATTTTAATATTATTTTGCTTCTACAATCGACCCTGTATGGCTCGATTTATTGAATTAATTAAAAGTGACATGCAATCCATTAATTTGATAATGAATCTAAAATTATTGACCTGAAGATCACTTTTGGACATTAACGATTCAATAATTTATTTTTATACTTTGAACCGTTGACATAATTTCTTAGTCCCGAAGCACTCACACTTGAGTTCCTGAAGCAACTCAAATCCACTACACTTAGTTGTATATTGCATTTTGTGTTCTTGCAGGAACCTCTCTTTTATGAACTAAACGTTCATAAACTAAATTGAACCTGTAGTTTCAAATTTAGTGCCTTTGAAACCCGAAGTTTTCTTAAAATACACCTATGAAAACTAGACGTTTTTCATGAAAACCATATCTTAAAGCTCAAATGTTCTAACTTTGATGCTTATGGATGATTCATTCTCATAGCAACAATCATAATCTTGTTCCCTCCAATTCAGTGGATTGTTGAACCGTCACAAGTTCGATTTTCCTGATTTGGACGTTTCTAAGAGAAACCACTTTATGTGGGGTATAAGACGTGAATCTCCACTTGACTATCAAGAAGCTGAGAAACCATTGAAGCCAATAATGGCATGGAATAGTTGAATAAGCCTCCGCCATGATCTTCATTCGAAGACTTATGCTCAAAGCATTACAAATAGAAATACCTTTCGATCGAGGATTCTATGGCTCTTTGGCTCGCTCCTACGGATTGTCTAATCATGAAAGACATTGCCTGAAGCACATCATGATTACGTCCATAAATGAGTTCAATTCTGAAGTTTATAAATCTGGTCGAATATTGACTAGAGAATACTTTTCTCGTCCTTCCTTGTTTCTAACTAGCCCCTGAAGCAGTAGAGTAGAAAGCGGAAGTTTACCAAATTCTCAGATCTGATTACTACCACAAATGTGAGAGAAATGTATATACCCATTTCAGTTGGAGTCTACCGAATAGCTCAACCCAGTTCGGTCAAAGCCTGCCAAATGGTGATGCACTGCTTTGGCAGGGATACACTGAATGACATATTCTCTCACAATCCAATTTCGAGTTTGTTTTTACAACATATGGTAGAATCATGGCCTGCCTAGGTGTGGCATCATGCCCAAAGCATGATCCTTGGTACCTAAGACCTAAAACTTCAAGAATAAGGGAAAATATTCCTGAACCTTAACCCTGCAGAATCTATTTCAATCTCGATGAAATAGACCATTGGTTATGCACCTGTTTGTGCCCCTACCAATGTTGTTAAGGAGTACCATTCTAGTAGTCAATACGTGAGACTAATTTTTCTCCACCAAACACTGTTGGAAGAGCAGACTTTTGACATGGATGGCCTTGTTGGTCGAATCCCCTTAGTAAACCTTTACTTTGTGAACATTTTTCCATGTTCTTGGATTCAAGTTTGGTGTATGTTTTACTTATGGATAATCTTATTGATATTGTCCTCGAATATGAGTTAATTGAATCATGTTTCTTAATACATGTAACTGATTCAATTAAACACGTGATTAGGTAGGAATGTGGGAAAGTTAGTTGTTTGGATGAATGCGTACAACGCACACTAACTTTACACCTAAATCACATCTCTAACAACGACTTCAGGTATATCCAACCTGATTAAGAGTATTGGCACGCTCCTTATTGTATGAATGGTACTGAATCACCATTTAAGGGACCTTAAATTCTCCCTAACGTTGAGTTTTTAAGGATATTCGAGATGACAATGATCATAAATGAAACCATTGAAGGACATAGAGTGAAATATCTTTGCACCACCTCCAAAAATGAGCTTGAAGCTTTGATTTGGGGCCAATGGGTTGTCTCCCAACTAGGAACACACCACATGTAGCCAGCCTAGAGTTGGGTGATTGAGTAGTTTACTTATTTTGACACGACCATTTGGGACACTTAGGTCGAACAATGATGCTACGACGCATCTCCTTACTCGAAGTAAGGATCTTGTGCCTACAAGCACACTTTGCGAAGCCTGCTCATTAGGGAAATCGATTTTCTATATCATCCCTCGCAAAGATACGAAATCACCCTTTTTTTTACAGTTGATTCAAGAGAATATATGTGGACTAATCCAACCAAAATGCGAACCATATAAATACTTATGGTTTTGGTTGATGAATTGACAAACTGATCACATGTTTGTCCACACACATTGCTGCTAAACCTTCTGGCCGATGAACCTTACTTATCCCTTAAAGTCTAGGAGATTGGATAATGATTGAGAGTTTACATTGATGGTTTTCGATAAAGTACTGCATGTATTTTGGGTTTATAATTGAACATCAAATTCCCATGTTCACCCCAAATAGCCTTACCTACCGATCATAAAATGCAATTTAAATGATCGCCCAAATTTTGGTAAACATACCAAGTTTTTTGGTTTTTGCCTAGGGCTTTGCAATCTTCTACGCAACTATGTTGGTCCGCATTGAGGCCCATTGCCACCAAACCTATATGACGTTACAGTTGGTTACTGGGTACGAATCTGACGATTTTTGTATTTACGCATTTGGGTGCGCATTCCATGTGCCAAGTTGCACCGCCATAACATACCACCATGGGTCCTCAAAGAAGGATATGTATCTTTTGTCGATCATGATTCTCCTTCACACTAACTCTCTTTGAGCCCTTGCACGCAATCTCTTTACCGCTCATTTACGGGTTGCCACTTTAATGAGACAATCTTCTTACCGTTAAGGGGAGATAAGAACGTCAACGTTCTTGGAGAACGACGCCAATTTGCATAGACGTTGCCCACTATGTCTCATCTCGATCCCCATGCCGCACAAGTGCGATAAGCAAGTGCGATGAATTCTAGTTTTCAGAATGTTGCTTCGGACGCATTCCTTTGATCTATCTAAAGTGACGAGATCATATATCAGCTGCAAACATGTCTGCAATGATAGACGTACTTAATAGACGTCGAGTCAAAATCCCTGAAGGGTGTGCCACCCCTGTTGGACGGTCCGTTACACCGGCGGATAACCAATCAATCTGTCTTGGCCTGGAGCACGACAAATCATTCGGTTCGTAGGATTCACTTCATCAACTGTACTTGCTTCATCATTGAAGACCTGATGCGCCATTTACTTGAGTATTTACACACTTTGTGATTGTGCAAATCCTAGTAGATGTGGGAATGTATCTTATATTCCTATTAGGAGTAGATTACCTACTAAATGTTGTAATCCTAAAGGGTAATGAATTAACATTTCCTACTATTATAAATAAAGGCACAATTGGGTGGAATAACATACACTCACAATTACACATCTCTCTCTTCTTCTTCTCTATTGCCGCACCTTTCTCTCTCTATGGCCTCCATAATTGTTTAGTAAATTATACCTACAACATAGACTAATTTTTTGAGTTAGTTGTGAGTTCAATTTTTGAAAATAGTTATACCAAATAAGTTTTTAAGGCCTAAAACTTGAAAATTGTTCTTGAGTTTAAAAAGTTGGATTCAAGTAGAGTATCAAACATGTCTTAGTTTTCTGTAGGCATTATTTTAAAAACAGTCAGAGGCATCTTTTTGGAGGGCAAAAAGAAGAGAGAGTTGGAAGAAAAGCCATTGATATTTTCATACCATTGCAACAACATATACACAATCTTGCTTGTTAACAAAACAAGAGAGAAAAAACCAAGCAGAAGATGGGAAAGCAATCTTCACTCTTCGGTTTCTGCAACATATTCAAGGCCTGCTGGCAGTAGAGACGATACATATTACTCCGATGGCCCGGTGATGAGGACAGAGGAGGCTGGACGGCCAAGCCTGGCATTGACCGCAAGGTCAATGCTTTCATCAGCACAATGTGTCTCATTCCTTGTACTATGTCGATGCCAAAGCTAGGTTTTACTCTGACAATCTCGTCTAGAGTGTGACATAGTTGTTTGAATTATACTGCTAAATCAAAACGTCTTTGATTTCTCTGTTGGTTCAATAACAAGAAGAGTTGAACATGAATAGGGTACAACAAAGTTTATAATTTGGCATACTTCCTGAGTGTTTCACCAGCGCCTTTCGCGTGCTCTGGCACAGGCATGTTGCTTAAAAGAGTAACTCTTGATGATGATACGATGGATTTGATGTCTGAATTTGAAGGATCAATCTTCCATAGTCTCACCTCCCAAACCTGCCCAAAAAGCCAAACCCGAAAACAATCCTTGAATGATGTAATCCGTTGATCAATATTCGTTACAGAAAAGGAAATGATAAACTGATGAAAGATGAAAAACCAATGTGGATAATTGGGTAATGGCATTCACATTTCTTTAGTATAATTCTATTTCAGTAGGAATTCTCTGGAAACAGAATGCTGGGAATAAGAGTGGAGAATTTATACATTGAGCCTATGCAGATAACGTTGTGTTTTAATTGGAAATGATATAGTTGATGATGAAGACTTGAGAGGATTACCTGAATGGTTCTGCCGACGTAGGCCGGGGAGGCTTCAGCAAAGATATTGTCGCCGAGCTGGGCGGGCTTCAAATGGCTGATGCTGAGGTGAATCCCGGCCACCCTTTGGAAACCAGAGGCCATGTGAGCTCCCATGCTAGCCAGGGCCTCAGAGATGAGTGCTGATATACCCCCATGTAGCACCTTGAATGGCTGGTCTCATCAGCAAAGAATGGTAAGTAGTTAGTCATATATGTTTTGCTTTGCTTCTGCAATTAACATCTTTCAGAAATTTGAGCTGGAAAAGATTCATGATATGAAGAGAGGGAAGATGATGATGCTGACCTGGACGCACTTTTCGGTGACGTGGAGGCGACCGGAGACCTTTTTGGGGGTTATCTCTTCAAACTCGAACCCGAGTTCCCCTAGTGGAGCATCCAGAACCGACGTCTTCGAGGGCGGCAATGGCGACGGCGCTGATGGCTGAGATTGGGACTGAGAAGCCATATCTCTACCAAATATGAATCTGAGATTGGTCTGTATATTATTATTAGACGATAAAACCAAAGCAATTCAAACTTCCCCTTCGATTATTGAATGGATGGTAAGACTTTTCAACCGTCTTGAATTGTTGGATACATCTGGACGGCACAATATCATATCAGGATTCAGGAACACACACTTTTAACACGTATTTTGATATTTTGCAAGTTTTATTTTGTAATTTATTTTAACTTTTGATACATATTTTGATATTTTGTAAGTTTCATTTCATAATTTATTTTAACGATTTAGATGATTTATATTTTAATAGATCATTCAGAGATTATTTTTACAAAAAATTAGTCAAATCCAAAACCGTTGATATTTGTTTGTAGTGAAGAAAATTAACGAATATGATTCTACAAAGAAACATAAAATTTAATCTAATAGTCACATTGTTTCAAATTTAAATGATTTTTTGTAGATATAATATAAAAGATAAACAGCTTAATCGTTAAAATACAATTAAGAGTCAACTCTACAAAAAAATGTGTCAAAAGTGTGTGCGTCCAAATCTTAGGATGAGGATCCTCTTTAGACTCTCTTTGTGGGGATATGGAGGATCAATCTATCGTGTATGTTCATTGTACATCGTGCGGTCAGTTTTCATTAGGTACTTTTAATATTTACTTTTAAATTAAAATAATTAAAATAATTTTTTATTATACGATATACTATGAATGAATATAATTGATTGTTCTGATGCTAATCCCAAATCTTAATCCATATATCTCTTATCTACTAATTAATAATATCCTCGTTGTCAATCAAAAGAGAGTGAAAAGATAAATTATTTTTCTATCACACAAAAAAAATGATGGGTAATAATGTAATTTCAAAGGTTCAAATTTTATTGTTTTTTATTGAAGTCTCAGTGATTAAAATACCTTAAATATTTATAATAATAAAAAAAAAATTAAAAAAACAAACCTCCCACTTCCCTAGGTTCTCTCCCTCTCTCCCTCTCTCCCTCTCATTTTCTTAAAAAATGTGTACATACAAACAAAATGTGTAGATAAATGTTAATACTATATTTATCATTTTCTAGTCCTTGGTTGGTGGTGACATGTCGTTTGTTAATTTCTGGAGGGTCCGCTGGTTGCTCGGATCCCCAGGGAAGGAGGAAGGAAGGGTAGTTTGGTCCATTCATACATCCCGTTGGTGAGGATGGGAGAGGTAGGCGGGGTATGGGTGACCTGCTTAAATAATATACAATATTCCACAGTAATGCCACAATATTATTTTTTTGGGTCAATTTTTTGGGTATGGGTCAATTTTGGCTCCGTATTTCCTCAACCACCTGTGCTCTTTTTCTTCGGCCATCAAAATTCCACAGTAATGCCACAATATTTGTTTTTTTATTTTCTTCGGTGGATTAATTAGCACGTTGACTTGCTTAAATACTTATATGTGCAATAATCTTCTTTTATTATTACAAATTTTTATTTAATTGTATAACTTTAAATGTGAAATATAGATGGTTTGTCTAAAAGAAATCTTGATCCTACTGATTGTGGAGGAGTTTTTCGGGATTGCCATGGTTAGTTTCTTGGTAGTTTCTACCAAGGGATTGGCATATATATGAAATGTGTATAGATATATATATCGGAAGGTAAATATAAATGTAGGGGGTTCATGCATCATGTGGAATGTTTTCATGCTTTATAGTTATTTCAAATATCTTCCTTTATTTTAAGCATACCTGATTGATAGAAAACTACAAAAGCCTTTGAATTTGTAGAAGATCCTTCTAGGAAAGCTGGAATTGCATCTCCAATGCATTGTATCATGTTCAACACAAAAAAATTAAATTGAATCAATAACATGTAGATCAATTCAAAATAATAAATTAATCATAAAAAATGATTAAAATGTAATACTCTCCTAATTGAAGATCAAACTCTCTTTAGCGCAGCATCAAGAGCGTGTTGATAACGTATTGGAGGCATAATTTACTAAACAACTACGGAGGCTAGAGAGAGACGAGGTGTAGCATAGAGAGAGATGTGTAATTATAAGGTGTGTAGTATCTCGCCTCATTGTGCCTTTATTTTTTGTAGTCGGGAAGGTTAATTCCTTACCATAATAGGATAATATATAGTCTAAGAGATATGGTAGAATCCCATAAGGATATCCTAGATATGTTAGGATTTACACAATCACATTCCTAATCTAATAGGACTGCAATACTCCCCATTGAGTGTGTAAATACTCAACTAAATGGTGCATCAGGTATTCAGCGATGAAGTAAGTTCAGTTGATGAAGTCGTTGGCACAATGAAAAAATGCGAGTCTCAAATCAACAAAAGAATACATAAAAGGTAAAACTCACAAAACCTCGCTATGGTAAAATCCAAGATGGGAGGAAAACTCATAGACTAAAGAGAAAAGTGAGTGAGAAGTTGTATTAAGTCAAAACTATATTTCTAGATGCAAGCAGAACAGCTCAGCGGGGTATGATCAGCCCAGGATTGGTGCCTCGTCAAACCCTAGTTATGTAGAAAAAACCTAGGGGAAAAAATGTTCCTAATTGTAGGGAAAAAAAGTACATTAAGATCAAATGAGTATACTTCTGGATACTTCCCTTGAGTTTGATAGAACTTCCAAATGAGAACTACAAGCATTTGTATATGAATAGTTAGGCATACTGTATCACCCCAGCCTCGAAATATTTATTTTCGTGAAATAATTCCAATGATAGGCCCAATTCAATTCTCTTGTTTGATTTATTTTCAGTACATTTTATTCTTTAATTAAAAAAAAATCCTAACTACTCACATAAGTATCCACCAAACTTACTTAGCAAAACGTACGTTTATACTTTTACTTTAACACCAATACCTTCATATTCACTCTATTTCCCAACAAGAGATCAAACTCAATTGTCCAATTACCATTAGGGGTGGGCACTTGAAACCGAAAATCAAAACCGAAACCGAAACTAGAATCGAATCGAACCACACCGAACAGTTTGGTTTTGCAGTTTTGAAATGGTTGCGGTTTCAAAACCGAACCGCGGAACGGTTTGGTTTCGATTTTGGGTTTTCAAAACTGCACCGAAACTGAAATTGCACCATATATTGCTCATATCCACGTTTGTGAAATTGCTCATATATCAACTTATACTGCATACAAATCATATTTTGGTTTATATAAGATTATAAGTTAACTGTCTGCCTATTATATGCTCCGTTTTTTTCCCTACATTTGTTAAATTGTTAACTGGACTGTAGAGTTTGCATAAGTTCACCCAAAATTATTCAAGATGAGAATTTAGTGTCCTAGCATTATGGTTTATACTACATTTACTAGCACCTAAATAAGTTTGTTTGTACCATACTTGACCAATCCCGAAACTATTGAGCACCGGTCAACGTTATACCGTCAAGGACCCATAAGAGTTTCCCTCCAACCAGGAGGCCAATCACAATGCGACACGTGTCGACATCAGAAGTCAATCATAGCGCGACAAGTGTCAACATCAGAAGCCAATCACAACACGACACGTGTCAAAGTCAGAATGAAACTAGAAACTCTCTTCTATAAATAGAGATCATTCTCTCACAATATTTCCTAATGTCATTTGTACTAAATCATCCACTTGTACTCACTAAAAGAGAGCTTGAACCTATGTACTTGCGTAAACCCTTCACAATTAATGAGAACTCCTTTACTCCGTGGACGTAGCCAATCTGGGTGAACCATGTACATCTTGTGTTTGCTTCCCTGTCCCTATCCATTTATATACTTAACCACACTAGTGACCGGAGCAATCTAGCGAAGGTCACAAATTTAACACTTTCTGTTGTACCAAAGTCCTCACTGATTTTGTGCAACAACATTTGGCACCGTCTGTGGGAACAACACTTATTCCCACTCTCTTCAGCTTTGTCAAGCTGGTTTCCACCATTCGTACACTCTATTTTGACCAGGCATCCCTCTCCAACATGGGGAGTGAAGGAAGCTACAGCACATAGAATGACACCCCTTTTGCACCTAGTGCAAAGTAACGAAAGAAGAAAGGAAAGAGGGTTGCTCTTCAAGCTAAAGTCGATGAGCTAGAAGCTCAGAACAACAAGATAGCAATGAAGAATGAGGTTCTCCAGGAGCAGTATGAGAAGCTCTTTAAGACGCTCCACAAAACTAGGCGTACTCAAACATGCGAGCTCGTTACCCCTGTGGACATCAATCATCACCTGGGTGTCCCCCAACACGGAGGGTCACCTTCCTTCGACATGGGTATCCCTGATGAGGAGCGAGCTAATCATCAAAACATTGATCAACATGAGACTTCTCTCAACCTAGCTGCTTCGACCCGAAGCAGGAGAAGTGGAGGAAGACACCTCCTTGTAGAAGGGTTGGAAGGATCGAAATCCGCTTATCGTGACTGCCGAGACTTCTTAAAGCAACGTCGAGAAAATCCCCTCCACATGTGCTCGAAGATCAATGACCCAAGGGTTTCTGAAAGACTCGATCCCCTCCCACGACCCAGGCCAGCTGCTAATCTAGGGAAGGAACGACAGATCCCAAAGGAACATTAAGGTACATGGGAATATGAGGTATTCCGACAAACTCGCCCTAGAAGTCAGTACGGTGATTCCAAGGAAGAATCACACGCCCTTACTCAAACTTTCCTACTTCCAAGAGGCGATGGAGACTTACGAAAGAAAATCCCAGTGGTACATGACTTCACTTAGGACCCCCTTGTCCTACAACTCATTGAGGAAGTAAACAAGTTGAGGGCCGAACGTCAGGTCGAGATACCTGACTAGAACCAACCCAGGCCTGGCCCACTCACAAGGAGGATCTTTGACACTCCCATTCAAACGAAGACAAAACAAAAGCTTGGTTTACAACTTTATATTGGAATGGAGGACCCAATTGAACACCTTAACCTCTTTGAGTCCACCATGGCATATCGGATGCACACCGACGAAGAGCGATGTCTTCTCTTCCCCTTCACCCTCTCTGGCGGAGCTCTAAACTGGTATTGCCGTCTTCCACCTGAGACAGTAGACTCATTTGAAGAACTAAGAAAACTGTTTATCTTTCAACACATCTTCCAAACCGATCGCTTGCATTATGCAGAT